TTCCTTCTGCGTGTTTTTCTGTTCATCTGTTGCATTTGCTGCTACTGGAACATAACCATCAGTGACAAGATCTAGAACATCTTGAGCACCAAATAGTACACGCATTTGGATCATCCAACGATTCCGGTTTTTACCGTCAAATACTGGAAGTTTGGTGTTCATGTTGTCGTTTTCGTTCATCTTCTACCTTGCACAATACACTCAGATTTCTCACATAGTGTTTCCCAACCCACAGAATTAAAATTTTGATCAGATTTTGTTCAAGATTCAACACGAATCTAAGAATTAAAATCAAACACACAAGACCTCACGTTCACTCGTGTTTCCCGTGTTTTCCAATGAATCAGAACCGGAGCTCTAGATACCAATTGTTGGTGCAAAGGTAGAATAAATGATGAAAAGAGAAATATTCTATTAAGAGAATGACGGCTACGCACAACTACCAAAATTGCAATGATTTATACCATATTTATAAGCTAATATTATGGTTACTAGAATAAGATAAAAATACTAAAATACCCTATGGGTCTGTTTGGTTCAAATGAGGGGGAGGGGAGGGGAGGGATTTTAATGAAGGGGAGGGGAGGGGAGGGGAGGTGAAAGAATTTTTTAATTAAATAAGTGTTTGGTTCAAAAGAGAGGAGGGGAGGGGAGGGGAGGGATTTTAATTAAAAATGTGTTTGGTTCAGAATGGGAGGGGAGGGGTTTTATTAATAATTTACATTTTTATCCTTATGATCTTATATAAGTCATATGATATTAAAATGTGAAAAATCCGTGCGTATTTTTGTTGGTAATCAAATTTCTAATATTGAGTGATTAAAAAAATATTTATTTGTCACTAAAGTTAAAAAATTGAGTACAATCGATTCAACTTATAACTTTCCAACATAAATTAAACTATATGCCAATAACATCGTTTAAATTGTGATGAATCATATAACAAAACAAATTTATAAAATAACTTATTACTAAATATTAATGGTTCAAAATATTTAATAAATTGAATAAACAAAAATAAATAAAATGATATGGTTTACAATTTGATATAAAAGAAAATATGATAGAGTACATAACAAAATTAAAAGAAAAAAACGAATATAACGAAACATAATTTTTTTATATAAAAAAAAGACAATGATTATGGTTTATATTAATTATAAAAATTATAAAATAATTTGAAGGTGAAGAACAATTATAATAAATTGATGAAAACAATCGAGAAAAAACAGTAACATAAAAGATAACAAATAGTTTTGAAATAATAAAATTAAACTGAGGATATTTTAGTAAATATAATAATTTTTAAATATCAAAACTAATATTCCCTCCCCTCCCCTCCAAATCCCCCCAATTCGGAGGGAACCAAAAAGTGTGTTTTGGAGGGATTTTGCTCCCCTCCCCTCCCCTCCCCTCCCCTCCTAAAATTTGAACCAAACATATTTAATTAAAAATTTCCCCTCCCCTCCCCTCCCCTCCCCTCCATCTACCCCGAACCAAACACACCCTATAACAAACTTAGGGGCTAAGAAAATAGTACAACTATTAAAATATGAATTACTTCTAATACATATCACCATAGTTGAAATATTCAACCTTAGTGAAATCTGACTTATATTTAATTTAAAAATAAATAAAAAAGAAAGACGTCACCATAATATTAAAGAAATCACAAATTTGTTAGCATTGAGATTCGAACCCATAAAATTTACGAAAATTCACCCCGATTGTTTTATCGAATTGTGGTAATATGTAAATTATTTTTAATTAAAAAATAAATAAAAATGATGACACCTGATTTTCAATATGTCATCATGGTTCTTTAATGAAGCATGATGAAATGGGCGTTGTAGTATGTACTTTTTATAACATTGTTATGATTGACAAGTACAATGCTTTAACGTATGTTGTTGCCAAAATTTCTCGAAGTTTACTCCTTTATTGTGTTGGTATAACATCTTTAAAAATGTTAGAGTAAGATGTAAGATGGATGTCAAAGTGAAAAATTCAAAATTTAAGGATGAGAAAGATATCAAACTAACTGAAGTTTGGAAAACCATCATGGATATGTGGAAAACTATAGTGGAGTATGATATAAATGAAATATATCTTGATTATCTCTGTTTGTTTGTTCAAAACTGTATGTGCAAACTTTCTCACAATTTTTAAAGTGAAGAAGGTACTATATTTGGATTGATGAAGAAGTAAGTAGTAAGAGTTTTGGCTATCTACGTCATGCATATTGAAAATACAACAACAAATATGATTGAATTTACTCACATTAGATCAAAAAATTATTTAGCAAATAGTATGGGTGACATATGTAAAAATTAGAGTTTAGTTAACTTTATGATAAGATTGCACCATACGAGATACAAATAAGATTTAAGAAAAACATGAATATAAGAGAACACATATTCAAAAGATATATGTTATGGTCCTATTTGGTAGGAAATATTTCTAAAAACACACTACATTTAGTTATATATGAGAAATGTCGAATGAGCTATATGATATGGATAAATCAAAATATGGTTGCTTAATAAAACAAAATACAAATTGTCATGTGCATGTATAAGAAGTTGTTGTAAGATATATCTATTTTATTTGTTTGGAGGAAATTTACACTCATTGGAAGATGTTGAGATTTGACGATGCTCTTGTTTTTCAGGAAGATCATCCAAATACATATTTTGTGTCAGAATGGGAAGCTTGTTTGGTCTACTTATACTCAAAGTTATTGTAGGTAGAAGACGAAGCAGGTCATAGGCAGCATCACACTATTGACGATAATATTTATTGGTCTTTTAATCTTTCTGTGTCATTTTCATTTCATCTTTACGACGCCATTACTTATGATTTATGTGTTCTAAACTTTTCAGGCTTGGATCCTCTAGCACTTCCCGCGCATCAACGACTGGGCGAGTGTATCGACTTACACTGAGAATATGTAGCATGCTACTGCATTTTCCTCGCTCAAAGGAAATCAGGCGATAGAGCCGTTTAGATTGTATCTTGATCGTTTGGTTGCCAATGACATACACTTCAAAAGCTATGTCGATCACCGTGAGACGCGGCCATTCCACGTGATAGTGATATACTCAGAATGGTTGGTCTGCATATCACTTCTCACTACTTCTCATCTGCCCGAACGCGTCATGCGGCAATTGGGCTACACTCAGACCGTTCCCAAACACCTTGTGGTCTCTGCTCTTGCTGCTTTAACACGTAGACAGATGGATGAAATGTTTGATGATTATGAGTCATCTGGTGCCGGAGGAGGCAAATGAGATGTAGTCTGACATATATAATAGTGCATTAGTATATAATAGTAGTACTATAGATTGTATTTTATTTTCACATCATGCTACTTTATCGTTGTTCTCGAAATTATTTATATATGACATTTTTTTACTATTTGGATTTATGTACGTCATTTTTTACATTGCAATTGTATGATTTAAATCAGAGGGTACACAACACTTATAAATATTCATTTGAATGCACATAAACAAAGCGTAATGAGAACTATTCTATTCTGATAGGTTACTGAGATGTCTCTCTGAAAAATAAACAGAGATGCATCTCCGAAATAAACTTGTGAAATGACTTTTGAGTTTGATGCATAGTATACGTTTTAAATTGTTACGGAGATGCATTTCCAAAATATTTTCAACGTTTTATCAAAACTTAATGCGTGGGAAGATATATCTCTAGAATATAAGAAGTATTTTGATATTTTTTCGTGGTGGATAAGAAACATATATGATGAGTTTAAAAAATTCTCCATTATTTTGTTCTGGAGTGTAGATCATCAAACAAGTGGGCGTAGAACCTAAGCCAGCCCCTTCATTCCAAGTTTTGGTGGGGAAATGGAGTAGAGTTACAATGTTCATCTCGTTGTCTACATGTAATCATAGAAATGACCCTATTTGTATCCCATTTTACTCTATTTGTATTTGTATCTAGGGCTGGCAATGAACCAAACCAACTCGAAGATAGTTGGAATTCGACTCGACAATTAAATCGTTGAACTAGGTTCATGAACCAAATGAGTTGAGTATGAGCGAAAAATTAAGTTCGTTAACTAAATGAGCTGAACTTGAACTATACATAGTTCGACTCGTTAGGTTCATGAGTCAACTCGATTACATATGAAAAGAATTATACTGTCTTTAAGATTAAGTTTAAATATTTACTTCAAATCTTAGACAAATTTAATCTTCAATTTAGTAGTTTTTGAATTAGACTCTCAAATGTATCTCTTGAAAGTTGTGTAGGTTTTGAATTAGTAGATTTCGAAGATAAATGTAATTTCAATATGATAAATTTTATTTTATTTTAATATTTTATTTAAAAAATATATATTTATTTAAAATGTCAAATATACTATATTTAAAAAAATAGTTTTTAAGTTCGTGAACCATGTGAGATGAACCTACTGAGATGAACCTAACGAGTCGAACCGAACTGTTCGTGAACTTATAACGAGTCGAGTTTGAGCTTAAAAAAAAGTTCGTGTCGAACTCGAACTCGAACTCGAATTCGAACAATTCTTAACGAGTCGAGCCGAACTGAGGTGAGTTCGACTCGACTCGACTCGACTCATTTCCAGCCCTATTTGTATCCCATTTTAACACACCATATAAATGACACTACAAAGATATATTAATTATGTTAGAGCAAACAGAAGTTCTTTTATACCAGAGAACAAACAGAAGTGAATCTCTTGTCTATATAGATTGTCATCATAAAGTTAGGTACCTCTGAAATCTCTCTTTTCATGAAATCAATCAATAATCAATAATAACAGTTAACATAGTAACCATTCAAGTAAGATCTGGTGTTCACGAAGAATATACAACTAATCACACCGAGGGATCCTAAAACTAACATGAATTACGCAAGTTCATCTCTAGCTGCAGACACTGATCTTTGTTTTTTCCTCTTCAACAAATTTCAAAAGCAGTTCATGGATGCATGCATATATAGGTTCCTCTTCAATGCTTAGATTGGCTCCTAGCAGCACTTCGTCTCGCGCAGCATCCAACAAAGTATATGATAGACTAGCGTACACAATAAAGGTCAGTGAGATTATTATAGGTAGATTGAAGAACTTGTCTTGATTGTTTTGTAAACCTACGAAGAGGCAGCAATGTCTTACCAAAACAGCAAATAATACGACATTGAATATCGCAACAACTCTCCACTCAGTTTTCATGTATTGTGCCACGCCGGCCCTGGAACCAACATTCAGAAAAACAAAATGGCAGTGAGACAATATACGCATCTAGAAAAACATAAATGGAACATGGACAACCAAGAAATAAATGGCTTTTGCGTGTATAATGTCACAAAATCTAGTAATAAGTGTTTTATCAGGCATGCTTACTTGCAAGAATCACAATCATAGCATTTGACAGCTCGAGAATTTTTGTACCGCTTGCAGTCATGGTTAGGACTAACTGGATGAAAGCTCAAGTCGTAGTACGATGCGTTTACAGCAGGATATCCACACCTAAGACATAATAATTTCAGAGATAAGTACTAAGTTTCTTAACCGAAAAATAAACTATATTCTAAATAGAAACAAACTTGACTAGTTATTACATATAAGTAGATTCTTCGGAAAGAAAGGAGAACCTACTCAGAAGGCGGTCGGCAGCAGCCAGATTCAATTGGACTCAACTTAGCTAATTTATATTGTTTCGGAGTCTACATAACATGAAGATTATAAAAAGAGGTAAATAACAGTTTCGTGAGTGTGGAAAATAACAAAATCATAATTCAATTTTGTGGAATAGTATAAGATAAAAGATCGCACACCTTATATTTTTTGGATAGGTTGTTGCAGTTTTCAGTTTTGACCAGACAAACCCTCAATCGTTTCCAATTATGAGAATTGTTTAACTAAAAGCAGACAAAAAAAATCAAGGAAATGAATGTTGGAAGAGAATTGTCTAACACCATCATTTCTCAGTTAATAAGAGTTTTACCTCTTTGAGAAACCAAGAGCTATAATCTTGAAGGTGATATTCCTTGTACCTACGCATATAATAAGTCTGTCAATTATTGAATCGAATCACGCTATGATCTCAAGAATGTAGAACTTGAGTCCTTACCGCAAACCAGACACACTATGTCCTGATCCATTATTAGTCACAATGAATCTGAAACAATGGCAAAAGATGTCAAGAATTCTTGGCTTAATACTTTTCTCATTATTATTTCTCGTATATATAGAGGTTACAGGGCTATATTGGTAATTACACTAAATAATTACATTTTAATGAGAACAAGTCAATTTCTAATTTGTTTCCTTTATTCTAGGAACAAACCCTTATTCTAGGAACAAACCCTTATTCACATCCCCCCTCAAATTGATGCTGCTTGTCAATAAGCATCAATTTGCTAACAAGAAACTGATGACGTGGACGCGGAACAGCCTTGGTAAGAATATCTGCAATCTGCAACTGAGTACTGACATGAGGAAGTGATATGATTCGGTCATCATAAGCATCACGAATTGAGTGACAGTCAACTTCAATATGTTTGGTGCGTTCATGAAAAACAGGATTCGCAACAATTTGGATGGCACTTGTATTGTCAGCATAAAGCGAAGTTGGCTCTATTTGAGGAAATCCAAGTTCAGCCAAAAGACCACGAAGCCAAATTATTTCAGAACAAGCAGCAGACATGGCACGATACTCAGATTCAGTAGAAGATTTAGAGACTCTCGCTTGTTTCTTACTTTTCCATGAGATCAATGAAGAGCCAAGAAACATGCACCAACCAGTGACAGATCGTCGAGTATCAGGACACCCTGCCCAATCTGCATCACTATAAGCACTCAATTTAGGAGCAACTCCACTAGGAAAGAATAAACCACGATGAGAGCTTCCCTTCAAGTAACGAATTATACGACGAACTGCTGCCAAGTGAAGGTGGCGAGGAGAGTGCATGAATTGACTTACTTGTTGAACAGCAAACGATATGTCAGGGCGAGTAATAGTCAAGTAATTAAGGCTACCCACGAGTTGACGATACAATAAGGGATCAGGCAACAAATCACCATCATCACGATGATATTTAACATTAACCTCAAGCGGAGTATCCACTGGATTAGCCGATTGGAGACCAGCCATGGAAATTAAATCTGTGGCATACTTGTGTTGATGGAGGAATATACCCTTGGATGTAGAATGAACCTCAAGACCAAGAAAATAATGCAAATTACCAAGATCTTTCATATGAAACGCTGCTTGTAACTGCTGTTTAAGGCTTTGAATGGAAGCATGATCAGAACCAGTAATAATCATATCATCAACATACAGAAGAAGTAGGACAATTCCAGTAGACGTTCTATGAATAAATAGAGAAGAATCATACTGACTCTGAGTAAAGGAGAACCCAAGTAGAGTGGAGCGGAATTTTTCATACCATGCTCTAGGTGCTTGTTTCAAACCGTATAAGGAGCGTTTAAGCTTGCACACACCCTTAGATGATGAAAATAAACCTTGAGGAGGAGTCATATAAATGTCTTCCGCGAGGTCACCATGAAGAAAAGCATTTTTCACATCTAATTGATAAAGAGCCCACCCGTTAGAAGCAGCTATAGAGAGTACCGTACGAACGGATGTCATTTTAGCAACCGGTGCAAATGTCTCATCATAATCAATTCCATATTCCTGCTTGTTTCCTAAGGCAACCAAGCGAGCCTTGAAACGGTTGAGGGACCCATCCGAATTCAATTTCACAGAATACACCCATTTGCAGCCAATGGGTTTGACATCTGGAGGACAAGAGACAATATCCCATGTGAAATTCTCTTGAAGAGCTTGAAGTTCCTCATTCATTGCTTTTATCCAACGTACATCTTTAACAGCCTGTGAATAACAAGTAGGAATAGATATGCCAGAGAGGGTGGCAGTCAGAGAAGTATGTGCTGAATCATACCTGTCTGGTGAATATCTGTCTGGTGCTCGAGATATTCGAACAGAACGTCGTGGTTCAACCGTTACAGGATCAGGTGGCGGTTCAGCGTCGGGAAAGGGTGTGGGAACCTGCTGTTTGTGTTTTCTGACATATACATGACCTGGTTTATAACGCTCTATAGATTGAGGCATAATAGAGAACTTAGGAAGAGTAACAATATCATTCATGACAGGAGAAACGCATGGAAACATAAACTGATTATCAAAAAATGTCACATTCCTAGAAATGCGAAAACGATGGTTAGTGACATCATAACACACAAATCCCTTATGTGAGTGACTATACCCCATAAACGCACATTGAACAGACTGTGCTCCAAGCTTATGTCTTTCAAATGGAGGTAAGTGCACAAAACAAACACATCCAAAAATATGTAAATCATTATAACTAGGCTGAATTTTAAAAAGGCGAAAGAAGGGAGAATCAAAATCAATAACCGTAGAAGGAAGACGATTGATCAAGAATACGGCTGTGGAAAGAGCCTCAACCCAAAATCGGGATGGCACAGAAGCTTGAAGAAGTAATGTGCGTGTTACATCAAGCAAATGACGATTCTTTCGCTCTGCCATCCCGTTTTGTTGAGGGGTATTGGGACAAGACCGTTGAGACAAGATCCCTTTTTGTTGAAGGTATTCCTGAAATGCATGAGACATATACTCACCTCCCGAGTCAGATCGAAAAATTTTAACACTTGCTTGAAATTGATTTTCAACATATGTCAAAAACTTCTGAAACATAGAAAACACTTCAGACTTAGATCTAAGAAAATATATCCAAGTAAAGCGGCTGTAATCATCAATAAATGTGACAAAATATTTATAGTGAGCATGAGATGTTGCAGGAGACATTCCCCACACATCACTATGAATCATCTCAAAACAATTAGAAGCACGATGAGCGCCTGACGGAAAAGGGAGGATTTTACTTTTAGCCAATTTGCAAACAGAACATGAAATAGGAGTAGTACACGCATGTTTATTTCCCAACAAACCAGTTTTAAATAAATGAGACAAAACAACAGAATTTGGATGGCCTAATTTTCTATGCCAATCCTCATAAGAGTTCAAAACAGTATTACATGCAAAGGATAGATGACTAGAACTAAACTGGAGTGGAAACAATCTTCCCACTTTAGGCCCCTTCGCGATCACCTTTCCCGACACCTGCTCCTGCACAAGACAACCAACACGAGAAAAACTAACATTACAATTGTTATCCACCAATTGACCAACCGACAATAAGTTGGAAGCAAGTCCGGGTGATACAAGCACGTCACGAAAGTTTGAGTCTATGTCACCAACATCAGTGATAGAAAGTTTATTACCATCAGCAATTTGAATTTGCTGATTACCATTATAGGAATGTACATTTTGTAAGTATTTAGAGGAACCCGTCATGTGATTGGATGCACCAGAATCAAGAAACCATGATTGAGAATTATTAGAAGACTTACCCTGAATTCCCAAGGCTGAAAGAGCAGAAAGTACCATTTGGTGAATCATTTCAGGTTGTAGAACACTACCGGTACCCGTACTGAGAGGACCAACTTCAGAGTTGGTAGTGGCATGGAATGCTTGAGTTGGACGTTGTACTGGTCGGGGAGGACGTGTGGGACAGTCAGAGATGATATGACCCTGTTGTTTGCAATAGTTGCAAAACTTCTTACTGCAATTGCGAGCTACATGTCCAAATTGTTTGCAAGAAAAACATTGAACTTGTCGCATATCACGACCCTTTCCTCTACTTTGAGCAGCATATGCAATTGCCACAGGTTCGGAACTAACAGCATCATGAGACATGGTTCCTTGCGTAAGTAGACGTTGTTCCTCCCTTAGAAGTTCACCGACACAAGTATCCAAAGAAGGAACAGGATTCCTATTGAGCAAAGCGCCTCTAACAATCTCGAATTCTGGACGAAGTTTCATGAGAAATTGATCTCGCCGACTTGTGTCGTAGACCTCTTGAACAGCAGTGAGAGAGGTTTTGGGAACATTAGCATGTATAATAGCAGAGTGTTCTGTCCAGAGATTCAGAAAACCAGAATAGTATTCTTGAATAGGTAGGTCACCTTGTTTGTAGTTGGCTATGTCTAGCTCCAATTGAAAACGTTTTGCCGAATTGTCCTGGTTGTAAATGCGCTTCAGATAATTCCATATTTCTTGAGCAGTTGAAAAGGAGCGCAAATTATTTATCATCTGAGGATCAATACTATTGAGAATCCAAGTGATGATTTGAGCATCTTGAGTTTCCCATACATCTGAAGCAGTTTTATCCGTCGGGGCCTTAGAAACACCATCTAAGTGACTCCATAATCCCTTTCCTCTAACATACATCTTGAATTGAAATTCCCAAGCCGAATAATTCTTGCCGGTGAAACGAACACAGAAGTTATCTCTTTCTTTTTCGGAAGCCATTGAAATTATGTTGTAATTAGATGATGTATTACTATAATAATAATAATTATTATAATACTTATTATTATTATAATAACAACCTGCAACCAAAAGGAACAAAGCTCGTGCAGTACCACCAATATATCCCAAGAACAGTACCACTCGTGAAGCCGTAACAATTCCAATGTTTCAATTTGGAATTAGCGGCGGAACCAAATTATAACCACAAACCACAAACCAAATTAAAACAAAATTATAACCACGAAAAACAAACCGGTCACGACCTAGAATCAATATTCGTGAAAGGAGGATCGCAAATAACCGAAGTAAGCCGAAGCCCTAAACCCAGAATCACGATGGCAATCGACGCTAAACGAATTCCACGGGGAACGATCAAGAAGCAGAAACGAAGAAACAACAAACTGAATTGATCAGGGTGTTGTCACAGAACCAAGAGAGAAAAAATCAGAGCCAGGAAATCACAGGTTTGATCTACGAGCTCTGATACCATGTCAAGAATTCTTGGCTTAATACTTTTCTCATTATTATTTCTCGTATATATAGAGGTTACAGGGCTATATTGGTAATTACACTAAATAATTACATTTTAATGAGAACAAGTCAATTTCTAATTTGTTTCCTTTATTCTAGGAACAAACCCTTATTCTAGGAACAAACCCTTATTCACAAAAGATTGCATAAGCAATTACAAGAAATGATGATGCAGAAAGTGACAATATCCGTAAAAAAACATGTACACTTACACCAATACTGTGAAGACTAAGATTCCCACCAAGATGAAGAACAGCATGATCAGATACTGATAGTGCAATGTCAAGGATGATTCACTTAATTCAAAGTTTCTTTGAACTATTTTTCAATTTTAGTGTTTGTTGTAAATATATATAACATTTGACAAGGATACAACCCATAGCAATATAGAGCTTCTTTTCATAGCACCGAAAAAACCAACAATGGATCTGTACAAAACAAAACCATGATTGAAGACATTAGAGTAATAGAAAAAGATTCTAAAGAAAAGAATGCATCAAAATCATAAAAGAATGTGAAAAAACTGACATTAAGAAAATAACTCCTCCAATGCTTAGCACAGGTATAGTGAGAGATTTTCTGCAAGCATCATGACGAGTACTCATCCACACCCCAAATATTATCACAATCATTGCCAAAACCTGCACAATGAAAATAGCACAGACAATTCAAATTGAAGACATGCCCAGGCTTCGACCTAGCATGACACTGACACATATGATAGTACTTAGTAACGTTCAATCACTTCTATCTTTTCAAATTACTACACGTAGTTCAGTGTTAGCACTGACACTTTAGATTGAAGACACGTCATGCATCCAAAATAGCATAGCACATACTCAGATCTTGCCACGGCGCCGACACATTCGATAGTAACATTCAATCACTTCTATTTCATTTTTCAAATTACTACATACGTCCGGTGTTAGCAATGACACTTCAAGTTAAAGATATGTCACGTGTCTAACACTGAAAGTACATCGACACGGACGCATTTAGTTACATTCAACTACTTTTTTAAATTATTACGAGTATGAATGTGTTTTATGTATTAGAGCTAAGCTCAACATCAACAAAACCCCCCAAAAAAACTAGCTAGGAATATATACAAGGTTAACTTAACAGAAGTACAATTAGCTGTTAAAAATCACACCTTTGAACACATTCAACTGTAAAGTAAAACGGATATGCAAAAAGGACAAGAAGTAGAAACACAATGTAAAAGCAATAAAATACAGAAAGAAGAGAAAGAAGAAGATAACCATGGTGAGAAAGTTGATCCATCGAGTAACAAAGGTGCTAGTTCCCATTCCCATTTTTGAAATGGAAAATAACGAGTTAGAAGAATCAGAATGTGTTTTATTTGTTCAAACGATAGAAATGGAAAAGGAAGAGAGTGACAGTGATGTGATGTGATGAGATATGAACGGTGATAGAGATGCGGAACACGGTGTACAAGGCAAGGAACAAAACCCAACACTCTACGACACGACATTTTATGTACACCAAAGACCGCAGCAGTGAACAAAAAAAAAGGTGTTTTTTAATAATACTATTTCAAACTTGTGAATTTAAGTTTGGGTCGATTATTCAAAGTATTGCGGTTTTAGTTTTATCGATGATAAAGAAACAAAAACTAAAATAGAAAAGAAGTATGAGGAAGAAGGGCATTGGTCATAAATGTGAATATGGTTGGTTGGATCTGTACATACACTATATCCTTGTCTATCTAACCAATCCATCAACACACACATAGGATTATGGTTGACACCTCACTTGTATATGACAACTCATATATTTGAAAATTTTAATATTGGTTCTTTTCAAATTTATATCTCACTCAATTTTTTTTGTTTTTTGTTTTTATTAAAATTATTTTCAAACATTATTATTATTCTCTCTATTTTATATTATAAATAAATTTTATTTTTTAAATATATTGAATAATTAATATATTTAGAGAGAGTAAAAAATAATATAAATATTGCAACATTTATAAAAAAGATTGGTACTTTTTAGGACATTTAAGTAAAATTAAAATTTTGATACATGTTTTTATCATTATTTTTAAATCCAGTACGAATTTGAAATCTATGAGACTAAATTATGTTTGTTTCAAGTTGTCTTAAATGGATTAAGATGATGTTGTTGAAATTCTGAAAGATTTTGCATGGTTGTTTTTTCAAATATAATCAACCTTTTATGTCGTTTTCATATTGTGAAAAATGTTGGGACAAAATTCAAGGAGACTAAACAAGAATGTGTGATAGAATTATAGAATAAGGTTATGTTTCAAAGAGGGTGGTTGAGTATGGGCAATGTTTGCAATATTCGGAGCTAGTATGTGTTGATATTCTTTCCTTCATTAGTGACGGGTTATGTCTTATCTCTCAAAATCAATTCATCTGAATGTGAAGATCTTTGTCTATGTTTCCTCAGAGGCGCAAGTATGTCATGAGCTTATAATTCTAATTGAGCAATTTTGTGTTAAGCGCTTTCATAGTTTTTCACTTCAGATTTTTTGTCTTCGAAGTTTGAGCATTTAATCTACAAATCTACAAACTCGTCAACTAGCTTTGACTTTTCAAGGTCAAGTTTACCATCAAACTTAACATGAATTGATTCTTCAACAATTTGTGTTTCAGTGTTGTACACTTTATAACCTTTTGATCATTCCGAGTATCCTAACATGATACATTTTTATGCTTTGGAGTCAAACTTGTTCAAGTCCTCTTTAGTATTTAAAATAAAACATGAACATCTAAATGAATGAAAATATGAAATGTTGGACTTTCTGTTCTTCCACAATTCATAAGGAGTCTTACCCATAATAGGCCTTATTGAGATTCTGTTCTGAATATAACACGTCGTGTTGACTACTTATGCCTAGAAGTGCTTTGCAACATTAGTTTCATTGATCACGGTTCTGGTCATTTCTTGCAATGTGCTATTTTCCCTCTCTACAACTCCATTTTATTAAGGAGTTATAAGACAAGAAAAATCATGAGAAATGTCATTTTCATATAAAAAATCAAAATTTTCACCATGATCACTTCTGATTTTAACAATTTTAAAGTCTTTTTCATTTTGCACTTGGGAGTAGAAGGTAGTAAACACAGAATGTGATAGATCCTTGTGTTTTAGGACTTTACTCAGGTTCATCTGCTATAGTCACCACGATGACTAATCCATACTTTTTTTGGCATTGACAGAGGTTGTTTTCACCGGCCCAACTAAGTCAATGTGCAAAATCTCTAAAGGCCTAAAGGTTGAAACAACATATTTAACTCTGAAAGAAGTTTTTGAAAAATTTCTTTTCTTGCATGCCTCAAAAAGAGCATCTGAAGCAAACTTCAGATTTGGAAGGCCTCTGACTAAGTTTAGCTTGTTTAGCTTTGAGATTCTTCTCATGCTAACATGGTCTAACCGTCTATGCCAAGTTCGTTGCTCTTCATTCACAGACATAAGGCACTTAACATTTTGATTTTCTAAATTTGAAAGTATGATTTTGTAAATTTTGTTTTTCCTTTTGCCATAGAAGAGTACAAAGCCATCATTTTGTCTAACAACTTTGCATGACTTTTGATTAAAGATAATATCATGATCATCGTCATTTATTGACTTATGGACAAAAGGTTATGCATTAATCCTTTACCTAATAAAATATTATTAATAGAAGGGAGAAAGTCATTACCAACAGTTCTAGAGCCAACTATATTACCCTTCTAATTGCCTCTGATACCAATGGTGCCTACAGACTTATTTTTTAGACTTAGGAACATATGTCTTGTTCCCGTCATGTGATGTGAGCATCCAAAGTTCAGGTACCAAGATTGATGTTTCAACTTGGCTGCTAAGGATGTCTGCAATATAGATTATTTTGTCTTTAGGTGCCCATACCTTTTTAGGTTCTTTTTTGTTAGTAATCCCATAAGTTTTCTTGACCCAGAGTTTCTGTGCAGAATAATCATGTTTGTGTGTCCATAAGTCAAATGGGAATACAAATATTTTAGTTTATTTGCCTTTTGTTTTGAATTAGGTTTGATACTAGAATTATTAGGTGGCACATAACAAATACCTCTCTTTTCATTTATGCTTACTTCATAGATCATAAATGTCATTTTACTTCTGTTAATATTTTGTGCAAGAAATATTTAAAAAGACATGTCATATTTCTTAATGACAGATTCAGAGTCCATACGAGCTTCTAAAAGAATCTCTTTTTCAAGTTTTGTACTTTTGCTTTTGAGGGCAAAGTTATCTTTTTCAAGATTACATATCTTTTCTTTCAAAGTGGAGAATTCTTTCTTTAGCTCACTATGGGCTTTAGATCCAGCTACATGAATTTGATTCAAATCCTTGTACCTTTTCTGAAGCCTTTGGTACTTTTCAATACTTTCAATCAAACATGACTCTATTTCAAAACGAGTTAAGTTAAACAATACCTCGTCAAAATCTGAGTTTGATCCTGATCCAGAGTTAGATGCTTTTATGCTTGACATTAGTGCCATGTTGGCTTGCTCTTATTCAGAACCACATTTTAAAGACTCAGAGTCATCCCATGTAGCCATCAAAACCTTCTTCTTATCTTTGAAGAACTTTTTCTTAGGGTTTTCTTTCTTTACCTTGGGACATTCATTCATGTAGTGGCCTGACTCCTTGCACTCAAAACAAATGATATCTTTTTCAGCACCAGACTTATTTTGTTCGGATGTTGACTCAAAGCGTCCACTTATTCTTCTGAATCCTCTAGGCTTATTTTTTTTATCTTTCTCCAAAGTTGATTGACTCTTTTAGAAAGAATAGAAAACTCATATTCTTCATTAGAATGTTCTTCAAATTCTTCTTCGTCGTCAGCTTGAAAAGCCTTTGCCCTTTTTATCTTGCCTTTAGATTTGAGAGCCACAAATTTTCCTTTTACTTTGAGGCTCATCCTATTCCAACTCTATCACATGACTTCTTAAAGAACTCACAAATTCCTTCAAAGTCGTACTGTTCAGATCTTTGGACATCTTAAGAGCAATCACCATAAGTATTAACTTCTTTGGTAAGCTTCTCATGATCTTCTTTACATGATCTGCAGTAGTGTAACCTTTGTTTAAAACCTTTAAGTCAACTACAAGAATTTGAAACCTTGGGAACACGTCCTCAATAGTTTCATCATCCTCCATTTTGAAGTCTTCATACTTTTGAATCAAGGCAAGAGCCTTGGTTTATCTTACTTGTTCGTTTCCTTCACGAGTCATTCTAAGAAAATCAAACATAGACTTTGCAGAGTCTTTATTTGTTATATTTTCATACTCAGTGAGTGAGATAACATTCAGTAGGATGGTTCTTGACTTGTGATGATTTTTTTCCTTTTTTTATTGGTCATTCATCTTGCTTCTTTCTAACTTAGCACCATTTATATCCAAGGGATGTGTATAGTCATCTATGATCATATCCCACAAGTCTGCATTATAACCAAAGATTTTTTTTTTTGATTATATCCTTTTGTTAAGAAATGTGATTTGGCCTAACTCAACCCTATAAAACCGGCTTGTAGGGTGATAATTTCCCTCACTTAACACATGTTTATGTCATATATTATTTGATGTGAGACTCTCAAAATACACCCCCTCATGCCCAGGACTAAACCGATAACGAAAACGTTATTGTAAGTGGTCCACCGGATCTTTAAACCAAAGGCTCTTGATACCATCTTAAATCTGAATTTCTTGTATTATTATGTGGAAAACTACACACATATATAGGTATAAGCCTCTTAATCAACCCTACTAATTAAAGAAAGATTTAATACATTTATATCCTAAATAATATCCTAATTGATACTACTAATAAAACCAATAGATACATAATAACTATAAAACAATATCTCAACACTCCCCCTCGAGGTGGTGCATATACATCATAAGCATTCATCTTGTCACATATGTATGTAATCTGAGGTCTTCAAAGAGATTTTGTAAAGAGGTCAGCAAGTTGATCCTTGGAATTAACAAAGAAGGTTTTGATGGTCCTAGTGGTTATCTTCTCTCTAAGAAAGTGACAGTCGACTTCTATATGCTTTGTTCTTTCATGAAAAACTGGATTGGAGGAAAGGTGCAAAGCTGATTAGTTGTCATATACAAGTCCTATAGGACTAACTTCACAAAAGTGAAGTTCTTGTAGTAAATGCTTTAACCATAAGTGCTCACGTGTGGCATGATCCATGGCTCAATACTCAGTTTATGTACTTGATCAAGCAACAACAATTTGCTTTTTACTTTTCCATGAGATCAAATTCCCCTCAATAAAAACATAATTACCCAATGTA